GGTTCCGTCGTGTGATCTGTCCGGTAGCAAACGGCCCGGAAGTGAAGGGTGGCACAACGATCTTAAAAAAAGATTTGTATCGATGTCAGCGCGCGTTAATGCTTCAAGAGCAAGGCGCCTAGCCGAGCCGGTACTACTGTGCGCCATGAATCATAGCGTTTTAGCTCATACTGGCCGCAATAGTACCTCTACGAAAAAATACACCGTTTTGCAAAGGTTGTGAATTTCGTCACTGAAATTTTAAACTGCCACTAAGTATTGTACACATGATCGAAACTACTAAGATGTTCGTCGGCAGGTAAAGCTAGACAACACACAATTTAGTAACACCTGGTAAGAGGGAAGAGTGGTTGTTTGGGCGAGTTGGTTTGACATCTTATACAATCTTGTGCGCAACAAAGACGAGGACAAAAGCAGAGAAGAGGACACAACAAGGCGCCTTGTTGTGTCCTCTTCTATGCTTTTGTCCTCGTCTTTGTTGCGCACAAGATTGTATAAGGTGGTAAGAGGGCTATGTTGTAGTGGACATCGGTCTGTGCCTGGGAGAAATCTGAGTCAAGTACGAGAGCTCCCTTCTAAGGTTATTTAATTATATGTGCAGCTTAGACCAATTATAGCAGTAAATAGTGTTTAATACTAATTTTGCCCCTGCACTTTAGGTTTAGCTGTTTTTATCATTTCCTTGATTCCTTAGCGTTTTTTTTTATTTTTGAGTTGGCAACACTGAAGGAAACGTCCAATCAACGAAGTATTGACGGTTGCCCCCTACCTCAGTACCCACACCACGTCACCTCTTGATAAGCGAGGTTAAGATCTAAAACTCACGATTTGAAATGAAGCAATTGATGAGTCACGTACTATCGTGGCCGATATGGGCTCTAAATATCTTTATGTTTCTCTCGCGTACCTGACAATTTTCAAAGAAGGTTTGGTTCATATTAAAGCTGCAATGCACAGGTTGAGTTTTATTATATTAACTCTATTTCAGATCCACAGTTATTGAATTTTTTGGAACGGCCAAACGTGACAAAAAGTAAAAACAAACGTTGCTGCCTATTTTTTTCGGCAGGTACAAGATATAATCTTAAATGAACCACATCTAGCGTCCCAGCCTTTCGGAAAAAAACGCTTTGCGGAGGGCAAGTTCATCTGCTTCTTGCGCAGGGGGTAGCAGTGACGTCAGAACGCCGAGCCCTGATTGGCTGATCGCGACCCCCTATCTGAGCGTCGTCTGCTCCTTTGCAACGTCGTCTGCTCGCAACGTCGTCTGCGTCTGTCTTACCTTTCCTGCGACTTTCGGAAGTGCAGAGGCCAGATTCACGAAACGATCTTATGCCAAAAATGTGCGTAAGACAAAACGTGAGAACAAATTCGTATTCACGAAACGAAATTATCGTAAGTTTTGCGCAGGTTACGACGAAATCCTACGACAGCTCCGAAGCTGTCTTACGCACTTCTTACGATCAAGTCAGCACGGCCGACAGCGTCGCTCAGTTACTTGGTCGCGACGACCAACGCACGTTTATTTTTGTACGTGCTCTTCTCACGCGTCCCGACTATAAGCAGCAAGAAAAAAAGTAAAAAGTACTTGAAATAAACCACAACGAACAAGAACGCTAGATCCACAAACACCCGGGAAATGCTCCAACGGCCACGATTCCACTGACCCCGACCAAGCGAGCTCGGCAGATAGGCCTAGCAGGCACTCCGACTCGGCGCAGCGGTGCTCCGACGGTCCTTGGCCAATACCGTCTGCCCACGACCGGCTGGCGTGGTGAATGGAATATGTCCGCGCGACCCTTGTGAACCCTTCCCGTATTATACTTTGATCGCTGACCTCAATTTTAGATTAAGAGGTCAATCTCTTCCTCTTGTCATCTCCTTGTTTTCCGAAGCAGCGGTGACTCTCGCCGGTGAAAAAGCGGTGAATCTCCGACAGACGCAGGAAAGGTAAAGCAGCCATCACTTTGACTAGCAGACGCAAAGCAGACGACATTAACTGCGCCAACCCGCCGACGCCGTTAAAGTGTGAGGAGTCTCGCCGCGCACGAAAGAAGGGAAAAGTATTTGGGAGGGAACTTGCGGACGCTCACCCCCTCTCGGTTCTTAGCAAACAAACCTCGGCGCCTCGGGACACCTCGCCAGTCCTTTGACTTCCCTCCTTGATGCGCGTCTGCTAGTTGTTAGACAAAAACAACGTACCGCTCGAGTTATTTCGTCTGCCCTCTCTGAAAGGCGAAGTCGAGCTCGCTCTTAAGGACCTGCACTTCCGAAAGTCGCAGGAAAGGTAAGACAGACGCAGACGACGTTGCGAGCAGACGACGTTGCAAAGGAGCAGACGACGCTGAGATAGGGGGTCGCGATCAGCCAATCAGGGCTCGGCGTTCTGACGTCCCCGCTACTTCCTTTCTCATGCGCAGAAGACGAAAATGAGCCCACTTGCGAGGCGTATAAGACACGTATACCCTTTTGCCAACCAACTTAACACCCTAATTAAAGAGGATGCCAGCACTCAAAATCTAGCATGCTACTGCTGATTTGCCACAACCTGTCGTAAACCGCATTCTACCTAGACATAACATAACCTGACCAAAACTAGACTTAACAAAGCCCAATCAAAGCTAATATAACCTGAACAAAGCCTAACCCATGGCATCAAAGTAAACTAGTGTTCGTCAATCAGGGCCTTATGCTGGTTTTGTCTGCACATGTGCTCACCTATTTTTGGCACGAAGGTTCATTGTTACCAAGATGTTTGAGTTGAAGCAGTTACTAGTATATCAGCAAACGCTTCTCTGATATGTCAATTCATTTTGAAAATAAACCTTCAGCCTTGATGTGTTAGAGGGCCCTCTGTGCCGTTCGAACACATTCAGCCCATCGAACCCCTTAACCCTTCAAACCCTTTGAACCCTTCGAACCACATCAAGTTTTCAGACGCCTCATCCTTTTACAGCCATTCAGCCTTTTAGAGCACCTTAGCCCTTCAACCCTTTGTACACCCAAGCAACTGTAAACCATAGGCAAAAAATGCAACTTAAACGTTATTGGAATTATATTTTAGACATTGAGTTGGACTTGCACGTTATAACTCAAACAGACGACAAGAAGTAACATGTAATTAAACCTGAGCGCAAGCGGCTCTAGACAGAAACGATCTGACCAAATAGCGACAACCAAGTTCTTTGTCGCATAAGATATTTTACAGCGGCTACTGTTACGGGTTCGTCCCTCAGGTTTTTCGACGGCGTGAGCGAAAATAATACAGTTACCCTGCTAAATTTAGTGGAAAAATTAATGCCACGTGATCCGTGCGCTAGTTCAGTTAACTTACTAAACTTGGCGGGAAAATTGATGTCACGTGAGCTGACGTCACCAGACCTACAGACGAATTTAGGTTGCGAGCTAAATTTAGCGAAAAAACTTGCGTCACGTCACTTATGCACCAATTCAATTTCCCCGTTAAATTTGGCAAAAAAAAACCTTTCAGCCTTTTTACTCTGTTGAAGAAGGAAGACCAGCGAAGCTGTACTATGGTGGGAAAGAAGTAATGGTCGGCCGCAAGTCGGCAAGCCAGAGTGGAAATGTTCGAAAGGTTGCCGCGATCTATGAGCGACGGCGGTAACTAGACAACTGGCAAACCGGTTGTCTGGTTGCCACCGTCGCTCATAGATGGCGGTATCTGTCCAGAGTTCTGTGTCATTAGGTCATTTAAGGACGGGCACAATTCTGTGGAAACTAACCCTTTCAGCTACACTATAAAATTGATGTCACGTAACCTGACGTCACGGGAGCTCAAGACAAACAAATTTAGGTGCATTCATCGAAAAGTGAGAGTAACGTTTTTTCCACTATCGCACTGCCTACACATGTGTACCGTTTTATCAAAATTTCTTTGAAATACCTATGAGTCTTGTAGTGACTGTTTACTTGTAAGAACACCGTCATCCTCAATTAACTTCATCAAATGCGGAATATTTGCTGCAATATGTGTTTATAAATAAAAAAGCAATAATCCCAGAACGCGCTCTTGCGTGGCTACTGAATTTAGCGTAACATACCGAGCAGGCTCCACCCAAAATTTTGAGATAATCAGAAACAATGGGCATGTGCATTTGTTAAGTCTGAATGAAGAAAGAGGCACAGCTTCTGCGGCGCTTCGCTACAGACTGCTTTCAGACGCGAGAGTATTTCTTGTCTTATATGAAGGTTGTACGGCTTCTGTGGAGGTTGCCAACTTCTCCTCTTTTTTTCGTTTTTTTTTTTTTTTTTTTTTGTTTGCGATGGTTTAGTTGTTCTAGACCACGCATGTTTTGCTTTCTACCTTCAGCCAAACATCGCTCTTTCTCCTCCAGTATCTTCCTGGCACGTTAAGCACGGTGATAACTCAGCGCGTGGCCACTTCTGTTGGGCCATCTCCTCTTCAGTTGGCTCTTCTTGCTGGGGGCATTGTGAAGAATTCAGGGAACGCCTCGTCCCGGGACTCGCACATTTGCGCCGAGAGGAGGACGGAACGTGTACCTCACTCTCTCGAGGATGTTTTTCCGTTGTACAACTGGGGTGTAGCAAGTGGGGTGACTTAATGAAATGCATTCACCAATCCAGAAAAGGCACTTGATGGGGTGCGCTTCACTGCCTTGCATCGGCGTGCTCGGAGAAGCAGCTGTCGCGCATCTCGGTTAGCGAGGTAGGCTCAGACGTCTGGGCTGAATGTTTATTGTGAAATAATAATCTTAAAACTGAAAGGGTGACCGCCTTGACGGCATCAATCAATCGTGAAATAAGAGTGTCGATAATCTGACGCGGTAGCTTCAACTAGCGACTCTAGAAAACAGGTAAAATGTACAGCATTGTCCTAGCGTCTCACTGAGTTAATTTGTTTTGAGATGCCATTATTTTGCATAAAATGTATAAATTGAGTTATATGCATAAAATGTATAAATTGAGTTATATATATGCACATACACCTGAATGTGACCTTTTGACGTTGTATTGTGCAGGAAAACCACTGCATGCGGATCAAGATCCTCGGCGACTGCTACTACTGCGTGTCCGGGCTTCCGGTGTCCAGACCCAGCCACGCCTACAACTGCGTTCGAATGGGGCTCCAGATGATCGAGGCCATACGGTAAGGCCAGGAACTGTTTTCTACAGGAAAGTTGTCATACACTCAGCTGGGCAGTCAATTCGGAGACTGATCTCCTCTAAAGCTTGGCATAACTCGTGGCAATTTTTAATAGAATTGCGTAAAAACTGACAAACAGGCGCCCATTCAGCGGATAACCCAAGTAAGGAAAATCGTTATTTGATAAAGTAACGCCTCTTGCGGTAACTTTAGATTGCAAGTCGTCAACCCTCGGAATGGTAACAAAAAGAAAATAAAACTAGGAGATAAAGAATTTGTTTCAACTAAGACTCTTAGAGAGAGGTCATGTATACCAAGCAAGGACATTGTGTGTAGTCCAAGAATTAAAACCTAATCTAACGGTCAGCAAAAATCTATTTATTAACGTATCTGCGGCGGTTTATTACAAACGTGCGGCTAGGTGGTGTGAGCTTGGAGTGAAAATAATAACGAATGATGTTACCTGGTTAAAAAAAAAATACATGTTCCGGGTAATCCACGACAAACATTTCAAAAGATGGTGACATCACGGGGCTCGCTGACTAGTATGCGCGGCCGACAGATGGCGCAACATGAAACACGAGATAATGAGGCTGCCCGACCAATCTTCTCCGCACAAAAACTTAACGCCCCTGAGAAATTTAAGGGTTGTCTTGTTATTCAGATTATTTAAATAAAAGTTATCACATCTTGAAAATTGCATTTAACAGAGAGGCACGCCGCCCTTAAGGAAGAGTTGTAAAAACTTTCGGAGTGCGCCCTTTACGCTTCCGACATCTGCCAGCAGCGTTTCAAGGACGGCACGGACCGTCTGCGAATTGTCGTAGCAAATTTTGCAGCACAGATTCTTCTGTTTCCTTTTTTTTTTCGGACTAGGTAAGATCATCCGTACTTATTTTTACTGCAATCTTCCGCCACCTAGCATTCCCTCTGTATTAAATTGCAGCGATAGCCATTTCCGGTCGAGGTGCACGACGTAGTGCGTATAGCTTTACTCTTAATGTAAAGCGGGATGTCAGTTTGCGACACCCGCCCCCTCCGATCACGGCCCAACCGGCGGCATCAATGCCGGACAGCTTACGTTATCTCATTTTGTTGTTACACCACTGATACGCGAACACACGGTCATATTGGCGACAATTCCAGTCTTCTGTTCACAACGCAAATCACTACCATCGTTATGTTGCTGCTACGTTGCTGACACGCAGAAATGCAGAACCACGTTGACTGCCGGTTGGCACTCGGCATCAGAAAACAGAACTGAAATGAGCACAGAAGGCACCCAGGCACCTGGCAGCGAAACCCGCCTGCCTTGGGCGCAGTTTCCGCGATTTCCATAACGTAGTCAACATTGACACATTGTTCCGTGTGGGTTCCGCAATCCGGCGACGGTCATCTTAGCCCAGTGTACCTTGCGCAGCTGGCGCCGTTCCGGAACTTCGCTGTTCCCCAATAAAGATGATTTTTTACTTTCTATTGAAAACGTGTTGACTTCTTGTCGACTTTTATTACTTTCTTTTGACTTTGACTTTCAGTTGACATGATCAACAGAAAGTTTGTTTACTTTGTGCTGAAACTTTTCTGATGATTTTCTTCAGCCTGAGTCAAAAGGAAAGCTGTTGACTTTCTATTAACTTTTCTTAATTTTTTCTGCTGACTTCTGTTGACAGTGTCATCAGAATGACTGCAGACGTTCTGTTTACTTCGTGTTGAAAATGTTCAGGCGGCTCTCTGTAGCCTGTGTCAATTGAAAAGCTACAGACTTTCTGTTGATTTTTTTATTGAACATTGTACACCTCGACTATAGATATCAAAAATCACTAAGTTTCTCAATAGTCTCTGACAAGGTGAGAAAGGTAGGAAACATCTTCAGTTGTTCAACCTCCAGCGCTAGCCTACTACCCTTGACAACGCTTCGGCGTTCGTGCACCTCGATCGCGCACGTGCAGTCAAAACACGACGCAAGGCATGGGGCGCGTGCTGGATGCCAGGCATTCGGAAGACACGCACTGCCGTTCTCACTTTTTAAGTGACCTTAGTGACTTTAATGGCCATATTAAATAGCCAACTAGTAAAGAAAAGCAAAATAACTATTTCAAAGTGGAGAAATTGCCTTGACTTGCTTCATCCTGACTGGTGCTATACAGAGAAGCGATAACATTTCTCCTAGGTGCCGTTTTTGTAGATGTTATTTTAGCGACTGGCGCCGAATTATTATTTCTTGTATCAATGTTTTTTAGTAAGAGGTATTATCCACGAACTTCGAAACATTGTTTTCCTTTTGACAGACTCCTGAGGAGAAGCTGGAATACTTGGAACCTTAATAAGGGCTGAGGTGGTCACCAGCTAAATGATTACCTTCAATATGTAGGCTATATAAGGCTCTGGACAGGGTTGTAAAGTACCTAGGTACAAGTAACTGTAAATCGGTATCTAGGTACTTTTGTTGTACCTGAGGTACAAACCTAGGTACTTTCATTTCTCAGTATCTGTATCTGTATCTTAGGTACATTTTCCAGTAACTTGTAACTAAGTGAAGTTACTTTTTACAGGTACTTTTCTATTAACTTCGTCAAAATCGTAGAAAATACAATATAACATATACAACTGAAAATAAATTATAATTACAGTCGTAAAGCAATTTAACATCACGTAGTGTTTCCACGCAATAAATCGAACTCAAATTTTGCACTTTACAAAACTGAAATGTTTGTGAAGAAAATAAACTGGGAGGACGATTAACCTTCGCCTTTAAGAGTTGAACGCGATAGGGTTATCGGGCCCCGTTCGCATGGCCTTCCCAATCGCTTCTCATGCTCTTGAGTCAAACAACGACCTAGTTCTCATGATACAACACTCCCGGCGCGATCGAGGAGCTTTTGCGAGTGCTTTGATGCCATTTTACCCCGCAAGGCTTATTTATCTGTTTGCTCGGCACGCGCTAACAACACCCGACGCGATAATGCCTTTACTCTTACACAGATAGACATCGAGGCACTCGACGGCAGGATCGCAGTGCCATTCCCAAGCCCTCCGTTGCCTAGTCGGTAGCATGTCTCGCTCGTAACCGAAGGGTCGTGGGTGCGATCCTGCGTAAATTTTTCAATTTTTTCTTTAAGGCAAGTTAATTAGTTTGTCAAGTGGGATAATTGAAAAAATGCGGCGACCATTAATTTGTATGTCTTTAACCACCTTCATTCCACGCGTGACGTCACGTTTCACATGTGCGTTGTGGGTTGTTTGAAATTCCCGCGCGTAGTCATGTGGCTGTGACTTCACGACCCTGTCGACCATTCAGGAATTTCCCGTCACGCCACCGACGCCACCGACATCCGACAGATTTTCTGTGACACGAACTCCTAAATGCGCTCGCGTTAAAATATTCTCTTCCTTCCTAAAAACGAAAGAAAAAACGCGAAAGCTTGAAGACTTTCGCTCGTCGTTGCGTTGCGAAGGTTAGGTGCGTGTGCACACGACTCTTCGTTTCTCCATGCCGCCGACGTCTTCTGGGCCCGCCGACGGCTTCGATGCCAGTGCTGGCGCTGAAGTGCAAGCCACGTCAACAAGCGAGTTTCAGCGGGACGTCGTAAACAGTGGAAGCTGTGCCCTTGGTGAGCCAGTTGGAGCGTGAGAGTAAGGCACGTGAGGATTCAACTCCGATGTAGACATCTGTGCAGCACCGTCACGTGCCTCTCTCCAGTGACCTTATTGGCTTCCCCGGCCCTTCTGTCTTGCTATTTGCCAACTTCTACCGAGTTGGAGGCTCCTCCGGTGACTCTTTCTCGCCGACTGGCTCCGTCCTGTCGGGACTCTAGGGCGCCACTATCCGGGCCCGGGACCTGGGCAACTCGGGCTCTATGCTAAGCTTGCTGCTGTGGCGAAGAAGAGCAGAAGGAAAAAGAAAAACAGAGGACTCTCGGAAACAACAACGAAGGCTACGTGGCCACGTGGCGACGTGGCTACGTTACGTGCTGCCTTCTCTGGTCGAGTGTTGAGTCGGTCGAGTCAGCCCCATTGTCTTTGGTTGCCTGGTTGACTTGCGGACGCAATTCGCCTTCATCGCCATGTCTTCGATCATCAATGAGACGGCCATCGTCAGTAGCGTAAAAGAAGGCGAATCATACGTACCATGTCCCTTTTATAAGGATTATTTTAAACTCGGGAAAATGATAGAGAATGGGAACATTGATGGTTAGGTGTCTGAAGTGCGCCCCGAAACTCAAGATCATCTCGGCGTCCGTCAATAGCACGTCTAATGTCAGAAAGCATCTAATGGTATGTCGTCCATATTATATGAGCGAATGACGTTTTAGCGAATGACTTTCGCGAATAGGAATCACTTGAGCGAATGGACGTTTTTGCAAATGACGTTTTAACGAATAGGTTGTTTGTTGCTTGTTGGCACATGGGGACGTTTCGTCGCGGTGTGTCACTTGGTCGCGTGTTAACACATGAAGACAACCCGTTTACGCCGCTTAGCGGCGACAGACAAGGTGGTTCATTACAAAAAAAAAAGAAAAAAAAGAAAAAGCTAATCCGAGCTGTCGATGTAACTGCTCACTGCTGTTCGTTTGCGGCGGCACGTTGTAGGGTCGCTACGTCGCGCGTGTATGACTGGGACGCGTGCTAACATACTCGGACCCCTTGTTTACGCCGCTTCGCGGCGGCAGCAGGCAAGGCGTCACCTTACAAAAAGAAGCTAGTCCGAGCTGTTGATGTAACTAGATCCATTTCCTAATATGAACGGCACTATTCGTTAAAGTGCTACTCGATGAAACGTCGTGGTTCCGTTTTCATTCGCTAAAACGTCGTTCGATCAAGTGAACGAGCTTGGCCTCGTGGCAAGCGCAGCATCTTCTGAGCACTGAATTTGTGTTTCTAAATAAAGTGTTTCTCCTCCTCCTCCCGAAAGGACTCCATGCACGAAAAGATGGGCCCGTTCTTGGCCGCTTTCGGACAGAGGCCCGAAATAAGGCCTAGTAATTTCAAAACTCGCTTTCCAT